GTGGCAACCCTGCGTCGGGTAAGTCTATTGGCACTATTTTTCCAACTGCATTTGTTTACTTTGTGTCTCTGCCACATTTTGGTATTTCTTTCAATATTTCAAACTTTTTCATCATTGTATGTGTTATGGCGATCTATGATCAATGATATTTGAAGTTACCATTACACCATCCTGACGGTTAGCAATTTTAGCAATAAAATGGTATGTATTTATTTACGTATTTATTTATTAACTTCTTTTCCACTAAATTGGCCCAATGGCCTTCTAAGCGGAACTTGTAATTAAGGTATATACCTTTTTTAGACATAATGCTTTTGCACACTTAAAAGACTACAGTATAGTAGTCAGTATACACTACAACATAGTGTGAACATTATTTTGATATATACCAGGAAACTAACAATTCACGTGACTTGCCCGGAACTGAACCCACAATATCTCCAAGGTATGCCTGTAATGCTTAACATAGTTGGCGCAGTGGTTTAAACTGCTGTGTTGCTGGGCTGGTTGATCGAAAAGTCACCGGTTCGAATGTGCACAATGGGGTTAATTCCTGTGGCTCCGTCTCAGCTCCTGCCAACCTTGCAGTTCGAAAGCATGCAAATACGAGTAGATAAAAAGGTACCACTTTGGTGGGAAGCGTTCCATGCACTATGGTGTTTAGTCATGCTGACCACATAACCACGGAGACTGTCTGCGGACAAACGCTGGCTCCCTCCCTAAAGTGAGTCGTGACTTGACTTAACCTCAAGGAGAAACCCTTACCTTTACCTTTTTAAGCCCTCAATGGAAAAGAACCTCAAGGCATCCACAATTTCCTTATCTCAAGGATGATGCAGTGGCTAGGTTTGCATAATCAAGACCTGCCCTGCTCTGCTATATTAGAAAATTTAGAGTTGAAAAACAAGTGCCTTGTTCCTAGCTCTAAAAGAACAACAAAAACAGTAACAAAGTAAAGCTGGACCTGCTAATTATTGTGAGATTGGATCCTCTCACCAATCCTACCTTGACTATCTTCCTCTGGGCTTAACTGCAATGCGCAAAGTAGCTGCAGGGGAATAGATTTTCCCAGGGAATATAGTGGTGAGCTATCCTGTTGTAATGCAATGTGTTTTGAGGTAGGCTGGTCTTGAATGGGCAATTAATCATTGGCTTTACAAACATCAACTCCTGGCTTGAGCCCGGCTGACTTTGGCTCTTCCTCCAAGAATCCTACTCCTTCACTTGATCCTTTGCCTTTCCTACTTATATGGTTGTAGGAGCTTACTTGCCCCCCTCTAGCAGCTTTCCCTTTCCCTGAATGTTGGAGTGGAATCTCCATGGCCTGCCCTCTAACACTGGCATTCCTTGTCTCTCCCCTCTGCCCCTTCCACCATTCCCTGGTATCTGCTTGACTATTGAGGCACAGTCTTCATCCTTAAATATATGAAATAGTTCTGCATGCTTTTTAATTTTTGTTTCATGTTTATGAAAATTGTGAACATGTGTGAGGTGATTAGTAGTTAGATACAATTTGTGGCTGACACAACTTGGTGCTATAGAACTTCTAAGCTCTTGCAGGAAGTTCCTCTTGTGATTCATGGAGTTCTTACTCACTGACCCGCAATACCCCCTGCCACTGATTTTGTCACCAAGCCTTCCTACCAAAACTACACCTTTTCTATTGCCAATAGCTAATGCTGCTGTCATTTATTTACTACTCCAGTAATGGTATCAACACAAATAAACCTTTTCCTACAATTGCTGTTTCCAGTTTTTGTCCTTTTAAGTATAGATACCATTAGGCAAACTGACAGGCAGCCATGCTCCTTCTTTGCTGCTGCTTTGCAAGGAAAGAGGAAGGAAGTCTGGTGCATATGAAAGCCACTACAGCATGTGAGACTGCCTTTAGAACTCCGGACAACATGTTCTGTGAGTTGGTTTCTGAGCTCATGTATACAGAGACATATATAGCCATAGTTTGCACGTAGCCAGAATCAAGTGCATAGGCCATCATTGAATTAGGGGTTGTTGCTGAATCAAGGGTAGTTGTTATGTGTGAACCCGGCATTATGGGTTGTTAACTATGAGCAACACATAAAGAAAGTCAATGGGTTATCAACTCTGGGTTGATTGTGATTAACAAGCCATAATGAAACCATAGTACAGGGTTTTGTGTAATAACAATCCTTGACTCAACCAATCCACAATTTAATCTATACTCTTGGTTGTTATTACATGTGAACCAGGTCAGTGTGTGAGAGCCAGAATAGAGTGGGCTGGCTGAAGACAGGTATGCTGAAACCCATAGAATCATCGAATAGTGCAGTTGGAAGGGGCCATGAAGGCCATTGGGTCCAACCCCCTGCTGTTCCAGGACACCAATTTACACCATCCTAGAAAGAATGGAAAAGAAAAGTAAGGTAAGGGGAAAGATAGAAGGGTGTCCCTATCTACTTTTGCCAGTAGGCTGACCTGACCGCTTTTCCCTGAGGGAATAAGATCTCTCAACCTTGTACCTTAAATAGACCCTTCACTGTTGGGCTCCAGCTCTAGGCACTCTAGAAATAGCTTTGGGATAGGGTTCGGTTCTAGGCACACAGTTACCTTGACAACAAGCAGTCTAGTTATTCTAGCAGGGGTACAACACACAGTGCAGTGGGACAAAAAGTGTAATATTGTGGAAGAAAAGATCAGTTCAGCAGGAGATAGGTGGGCAACCTGATATTTTGCCCTACAATTGCCATGGTTCCACACAACAGTCTATGCTGTCTAGAGATAATGAAAGCTGTAGGCCAAATTTTATGGAGACCCACACTTTGAAACCACTATAACAGACGAATGGAGTGGTTTGATAACAGGTTTGGAACTTGTTACAAATTTCTCACAGAAAGCTTAATGTGAAATTAATTTGGGGTCAAAATCTTTCTAGGCACTCCCAGTGGGGCTCAAGGCAGGCTCAAGTAGACGTAATTCAGGCTAATCTGAAGGAGAAGGCTGTGCAAGAGTTGGAAATGACTCTGGAAGTCAACTAATTTAGATTAGGTCAGCTAATCTATAACTATTGAGAATATTTAATTTTTCTACACATGTTCTGATTCTATTTTTAGAATCAGGCAAAGCCTGATTCTGTTTTTAATGTCAGCAGTTCTCACTGAGACTTCTGCAGTAACACTAGAAGAGAGAATGCCTTTTCCTCATGGCCAGTCAGCACCAATGTAATTGCAGGTTGCCTGTTTTCCAGGCAAGTATGTTAGTAGCTCCCTCTCAACTTTCTCCTCAGAGGAACATCAGGTCATTTTTATTTCAGTCGGCTTTTAACTAGGCAGGCGTGAACTGATCATATTGCCCTCTTATTAATTGAAATGAGAATTTTCATGGTTAACACGTAATATAATCATTTAATATAATACATAACCATATATGGCATAATTGGCATCATTATACTTTATATGGAAGCATATAAGGTTCCTTAATATGAAAAGAAATTTTAGAATTCGGACTGCAAACCTATATATGCTTCCTTGGAGGGATCAGTGGACAGAGCAAAGTGTATTTCAAAGTAAATATAGTTAGCTCTGTGTCAGTAGCCAACCTGAACTGATGGGCTATTTGTCCCGACACAAAGATGGGAATCACTGGGTGCATGTGGGTAAAGGAAGGCAACCAACCATTGGATTGGGCAAGATGGCAGAAAAGCTTCTATGTGGAAAAGCTCCATAATATCAATGTGCTGTTTATGATTTTGATAATAAGGTCAGCTGCCTTAAGAATTGTATTGTTTTGCTTTTCTTTGGCGGTTAAGATTTGTTTCAGTATTTTATCACTATAAATCACCTTTGGTGCCTTGGCAGAAGTGGAGTGCAGAAATAATAAAAATGATTATGATGTTCGGTAATACTTTTGACATTTTGCAGGGCTACCCCTACCTGTAGTGTGAATTGAGTTAGTTTTTCAAGTAACTCGATTAGTTTTTTGTATGGAAAAAAAGAAAAACCCTTTTACTAGTCAATTTGCCCATACATACCTTTTTAATTATTTTGTGGCTCATCTGAAAGAAAAAATGAAAAGATCTGCAAATTCTTTCCTTCCCAGCTATTCTTGCTCACCATAAGCAACATAAGCATAAAGGCAGGTGGAAGGCCATTCTCTTTTCTTAAAAATATAAAAGGGGAGGGGAAAAAACCAAAGGATTATAGCAATAGCTTGCTTGCACATTCCTTTCTAAAATAGACATTGAAGGGAAAGTAAAGCTGACCAGAATTTTCAGCAGTCTGGTTCGATCTTTTGGTCCTCCTGTCATTTACAAGCGTCTGCAAATCTATGCAAAAAGCACCTCTGTGCATAAGCATTGTGCTGTTGGTTGGCCGGAACAACATTTCCATGTTAATACCAGATAGATAAAAAACAGAACAAAAGCCTGCAACTGATGAATGACAATACACAACATCTGTACATTCACGGCCAAAAGCCGAGATCTTGCCTTTTCTCATTCCTGCCGATCACTTTTCCAGATTCTTCGTTTTATCGAGATTGTATCCACAGGCCTTGAGCAAGTCTGTTTAAAAACAAGCAAGCACACTGTAAGTCAAGGGTTAAGAAACGTTCTGCTTGTGCTACGTTACCCAGCAGAGGTAATCCACTGGGAAGAAGAAAAGAAGACAAAGCAAAGCGGGAGGCTTTCGCAAAACCCTTTCCTTGCAAGCTGGGAAGCGTGAATACTGCTCATGTGCTTAAATCATTAAGCCATGAGTACAACGCTGCAAAAAGAAGGGAGCCGCGCGGGGCTCCGCGGGCAAATCTGGCGTGAGTCATCGAGTGTGACTGGAGGCAGGAAGGTCACTCTCGCTCTGGTCGGTCTCAACTCCTCCTCCGGCCTATCTGAAGCGCCGGCCTCAAAGGGGAGGATCCGCGCGATGCTAATGAGCCAAGTTGCCGGGCGAGGCAGGAACTTCGCAGCCCTTGCTCTGGTTCGGCGGCGGCGGCGGCGGCGGCGAGAAGGCGATGCCATCGCTCCCATCATGAGCCGCTGGTCGACTTCCCAGGGAGTTGTCCTGACAGCCTATCACCCCAGCAGCGGCCACAGCGCTGATCAGGCCAGCGGGAACCCCGCCGAAGACACCGCAGACGCCTCTTCCTCCAGGTAGGGACTCGCTCCAGAGGTCCTGCGCTCGCCAGGGGAAGCGGCTTGCCGGCACGGGCTGCCGCGCGGATGGGGGAGGAAACCGAGGCTTGCTTACCTGTTGACGTAGGCACGCTGGCTGGAGCCAGGTACGAAAGGCTGGCGGCGCTGGATCATATGACCAAGTTTAAATGTCCAGGGAAGGCTAAATAACAGCAGCCATGAGGTGCAATGCTTACGTTGCTCTGGCGCTGCAGGTGGCAGGTGCGTGGTGGCACTAAGTAGACGGGGGACACCGCAGGAAAGGAAAGGCACCAGTAATGCATAAGATCAGATGTCTCACAATTCAATCTGCTGGGAAAAAGCAGCTGTGGCACCGGGAAAATGCTTGGGCAGAGTGAACAGGAAAGTGGAGGAGCATTCTTCCCACATTGAAAGGAATGACCTTAGGTTTTTCATTAATGTTTCCAGCCTAAACGTTTTCTTTGAAGGAAATCCCATTGCTTTTGCTTTATACTTTCAAATAAGAATGCATTCTGCAGTAGGCAACCCTGATCTTAGTTTCTCCAGAAAGCAATCAAGCAGGCTTTTCCAGAATATTTTATTTTAAAGCATATTTTCTTTTGTCTTCCAGGAGGTAAAAATATATTTAAGAAACAAACTTTTTTAAAATTGTAAAATGGGCTGATGTTTATCAGTTTTTAATAAACAAGAACAAAGATTCTCTTTTGTATAGATTGCAGAGGTGTAAATCATTCCCCAGTAGGTGGAATGGTTCAGCTTGTTCATCCAAGCCTTTGGTGATCTCCACCAACAACCCTGCAGAAGCCTTCTGAGGTAATAACCTCAGAACTTCTTTTACTTTCTTTGAGATGCACTTGCATGCATGAAAAATACTGATTTCATACAAAGTAGTACCTTGAGATGAACACTGATATGTGAAAACAGGTACAACTGCACTGAGATCCCTGGCTGCTAAAGTTGGACTGGGAGGAAGGAACACAAATGTGATTAAAATATCCAACTTCTATTTCAGGGATGTATTTCTTAATGCATAAGGGTTTCCTGCACAATCTGCACCATGCACTGTATTTTTAATGTTTAAACAACATAACTGTAAAGCAGTGATTCATTTTAGTGTTCTTCCTTTTAATAATGCATGGAGAAGAGATAATTAGGCACAGGCCTAATTTTCCATCTGAAAGCATCTGTCTTGCATTGTAAGTCATACCAGATATGCACCACAATCCTATACATTTCACTAGAATTAAATACCATGATGAGGCTGACTCTCAAGAATTGGTATCCCTTCCATACAGAGGTAGTCAATATTAATTTTGGCTGGAAAGTCATTTGACATGTCTTGTCATGTCAATCTGAAGGGTGTATCTCCTGACACACATCAGTCCCCAGATGCGGATTGGACTTGATCGTTATTCAAATCAGTGTGACTTTCTTTCAAGTAAACATGCTTAGGAATTCTGTGGGTGTAAATTACATATTCCAGGTAGATACCGTATTTTTCGCTCTATAAGATGCACCTGACCATAAGATGCACCTAGTTTTTAGAGGAGGAAAACAAGAAAAAATATTCTGAATCAAATGGTTTACTAAACTATTTAATAAACTATAACAGAATACAGTAATACTGTATTTCAACCTTGTAAAGTGAACAGCAGTCAACAGTGGCATTAAGAACCATCATCACTGTCGTTAACAAAAGAGAGACTTTAAAGTTCGAGTACTCTTCTAGTTTTTGTTGAACCCATAGAACTCATCATCACTAGGGTCAGAATTTATGAAGCTCTGTTGCTCACAATCACTGACATCACTTTCTTAGTCATTAGTGGAATTATTGAAGGAATCCACAATCTACACCAGTTATACAAGAGCTGCTGCAGACAATTCAATAACAAATCTAAAAAAGCCAGTAATGTCCACGCTGCCCTACTAGTAAATAATAGAAAAAAACTTCTGACAAAAAATGAGATATTGTACGGTAAATCAAACACACAGCGGACTAAGTAGCCTTTGAAGAATAAACTTCATACACGAAGATAACGCTGTTCAAATATCCACTGATCCTAAAAAAAAAATGTGATCAACTAACAGATAACTGATCCATGGAAAGCTTCCTGATAATCACAGGCACATTCCCCATCACTTCCCCATGGGCTTCATTAAAAGACGGGTTGCCATTTGAAAACACACACCGACCTGTGATTAACAGCTGTCCCCTGCACTGGACGAGGGGGGCGGAGCAGGGTGCGCTGAACGCGTGCCGGCCAGGTGGTGCCACGTGGGGCCGGCAGCGTGCCGGCGGTGGTCTTCCGGGCGGCGTGGCGGTGGCAGGTCTTCCCAGGCTGTGGGGGTGAGCAGTTCCCGCATGGTGGGGGTGAGCAGTCCGTCTCTCCGTGCGGCCAGTGGGTTAAAGTCCGCGGCTCCTCCTCCTCCGCACGCCTCCCCCTGAGCGGCACAGCTCTCACCTGCACCGGGGGGGGGGGGGAGAAGGGCGCGCCGAGCGCGTGTTGGCCAGGTGGTGCCACATGGGGCTGGTAGCGTGCTGGCGGTGGTCTTCTGGGCGGCGCAGCAGCAGGTCTTCCCAGGCGGTGAGGGTGAGCAGTTTCCAGGCGGTGGGGGTGAGCAGTCCGTCTCTCCATGCGGTCAGCGGGTTAAAGCCCATGGCTCCTCCTCCTCCGCACCTCTCCCCCCGAGCGGCACAGCTCTCACCTGCGCCGGAGGGGGAGGTGGAGCAGCGTACGCCGAGCGCATGCTGGCCAGGTGGTGCCACGTGGTGCAGGCGGGCCGGCAGCGTCCCGGGCGTCGGGCACACACACATTCGCTCTATAAGACGCACAGACATTTCCCCTTACTTTTGAGGGGGGAAAAGTGCATCTTATAGAGCGAAAAATACGGTAATTCCAGGTGACTTGGATAAGGGACTCAAGGCATGCAGTTCATAATTACACTTGGCTCCTGCCCATCTTCCAAGAAGTCCAGGGCAATGTGAAGAATGCACTGCTGGGAAGGCCAATGGCTTCTTTGTGCTTCTCCACCCTGCCCAGCTTGCTGGGGCTGTAACCAGTACAGACAAACTGGCACATTGGAATTTTTCTTCCACTCAGGACAATAGCTGAGAAACTGAATCTGAGTTTTAGTTTTCAATATTAGCATTCTTCACCTGCCCTGCACACTCAGGAAATAATGTATCTAAAATGTGAAAAGTTCTGCTTCTAAATAAACTGGTTTTTAAAAGGAGTTTATTAATTTTTTCAAATGCAGAGAAAGGGAAAAAAGATGATCAAACTTAAATCTATCAGTTGATAGATGGTAACACATTCAGGCTTTTTTGCACATTCCTTTACAGGGAGAAATATTGGCGCAGTTGGTGGGCTGCTCCAGTCAATTTTCCATATGTTGAGCCAAAGACTTTGATAGATGTTGCAGCATATGCCCTTGGTTTTTATATGAAAAATATGCCATATTATATGAAATAGCTTAAATCTAGCTGTCTTTAATTTATGTCCATTTTTTCTGCCATGACAAGGACCTTGTGCAGAGGAAGTAACCATAAATAATCTTGATGAGGTCAGCATTTGTGTTGCTCCATTGAAATAGCAAATTGAGCATCCTAATCCTATGAGCCTGCCAACTGTGTAACAATGTAATTACAACTTCTGTAGGATAGGAAGGAAGTGAAGAATGTTTGCTTGCTCATGAACAGCAGCTTTTGGCTGCGCTAACCCTCCCCCTCTCCAGATGTGCTTAATTTGGCTTCCTTCCAAAGAAACATTTTAGCCCATAGCTCTACATATCTGTTCTCCCAAATGCAAGCTATATCAAGATACAATAAACTGTCATTTTGATTCAAAAAGTTACATTATACTTTATTTTAATGATTAAAATGTATTTTAAGACAATTCAAAGAGATATTTGTATAGAATGTATTGTGTGCAGGAACAGTAGTCAGTATAAAGAGAAGTCACTTTCCAGACATCCTGTTATGTTTGCTGTTTCTTTAATACAATTAAGCAGATTCTAATCTCATTCATAAAACTTCATCAGTGGAAAATAAAACAAGAGCTTTGGAGAGTAGGGACACCCTGTAATGATAGCAACTGCAAATTGCAGAGCTCAGTTTAACCAAACTGGAATCCCAAAAATAGGAAATACTGCTGTGGTTTGGTGTCCTGTGAAACAGTAGGCTTCTACAGATGTTCTGGAAAGAGTATAATTTACCATAAAGCAGGGGTCTCAAACTCGCGGCCCGCGGGCCAATTGCCAGGACGGGCGGGGCACGGGAGAGGGGCTCTGCGGCCTTCCAAGCACCGGTGGCGCCCAGGCCGGCCTCCGGGAGCCACGCGGGATGGGCGGCCCACCACCACCGCTTGATGCGGCCCAGCCTCACCCAGACTCTACTTCCAGCAGCCCCCAGGTAAGTTGAGTTTGAGACCCCTGCCATAAAGTATCATATGAGGACCTGTGCAGGATTCTGCTTTGTGCTGTGTTTTGTCCTCTCTTGCTCAAGATGGTTGATTGGGATTGGGAGAATAGCATGTGGCATGGAAATGTTATTCTCCCTCTCCAAGCTCTGTGGCATTGATATGAGGCTACTGTGGCCTTTTTCTCTCAACTGTGTTTTTTTTTAAATTGGGAGATCCAATCACATATCTTCAGCTGTCACATCTGATTTGGTGAAGCTCTTTTACTCTGTGATGGGGAATAGTGCTAGCCACTTGTTCTTCAGAAGAATGGTAGAGACAAATAAGCTGAGATGTTTGATAGGATAAAAGGTTTGCTTAGCTATTTTGCCAAAGATTGCAGTGATAGCTTGTTTGTCATCCAGTTACAGAAAGATGAAGAGGTGCTAATAAATGTTGCACATTGAAAATACAGTAATTTGATACAGATAGGATCACATTCTCATTTGTAAAGAAACAGCTTCCATTGTTTTACTGTTGTATATGTCATTTAATAGAAAGCTGCCATACTCCAGCCTCTCTGCATGTAGTTATGTAATA